TATGTTATCCATAATAATGTACTGCATTCATTCAAACATTGTCCATGTATTCGATTGTTGTTAGTTTCACATGTGTTGGTGCAGGACAAAAAAAAGACTGAACAGGAAGTTGTTCTTTTTCAAACTGTGGGGGAGATGTCTGTACTTCAGCTCTGAGTAAATATGTGTACATTAGTCATGTGACCACTTTAAAGCTGCTGGTAAATGTAAATAGGAGAGAGTTGTATTATGCCGATGTCGATGACGACAACCGGGCTCGTGCACGACAGTGACGACTGATTCTCCTCAGGGTTCAGGTCTTTATTCGCCGTGGCTCGATCCCTGCAGGTCACTCTTCCAGTTTCAGAGTCTAAACTACAACCAGCATCGCCACAGGCCAAACACGCAGGAGGGTTTAGATCAGGCCCCGTGTTTGTGTTGGTCAGAGAGAGAAAAGTTGTATTTCTGCGTGTGAGAGTCATCACCTCAACATCTACACTTACACATTGGTTTAAAGGTTTGTGTTGCACTTTAACTTCCTCCCCTTGTTAATCTCATTGTTCTGTTCATCATATTTGTTAATTAATTCAATTGATCGGCTGTTTCATTCTTTCTTGAGTATAAATTATTGTGTGTATATTTGTATGTATAAGCTAACTCTGTGTGTGTGTGTGTGTTCTGATTATTGACATGCTCCCCTTGTCTCTCTCTCTCTCTCTCCCACGCAGGCCTACAGCTCTATCCTGGTTGTCATGGTGATTCTGCTCAACATCGGAGTGGCTATTTTGTTTATTCACTTTTTTATTTAAGGACAGCACTGCTTTCAGAGTCAGCCTATCTATGCTACAACAACTATAAATTCATATGAGTGTCATGTCGAAATCTGCTGCCCCTCCGTGCTCCTGGTGAGAGGACTGCGACCCGGCTGGAGCGCGACCAGGAGCGAGGAGCGACTCCGCCATCGTCGGTCCGGTCGTCGCGAAAGAGATGATGTAGTGTGCAGCCCAAAGAGGTGGATGAAAGGGGGGTGAACCGGTCCAGAGGGAGACTACATGAGTGAGCTTCAGTTGTTCACCTAAAGACTCGAGTGAGCTGAAGCGGTTCGATTCCCAGGCCACTGAGACGTCTGCTTCCACTGTCTGCAGACAGGACTGACGAGACTTTTTCATCTTTAAATCCTAGTTTTCAACAGATTTGTAACTTCTAATTTATTTATTAACATTTTATCTCATGTACAATATGTTGATGGATATATTTATTTTGTAACCCTCCACCCCTCTTTATATAACTCCTGCCTTTTTTGTCCCTCCACCTGCCCAGGTGCCTGCCCAGGTGTTGTTACTGATGGTTCAACGTCTGTGTGTGTGCGTGTGCGTGCGTGTGTTGCTTGAGCTGCCTAGTGTGTGCTGTCTGGATACGTGGCTGGTTGAAGGCTCCCTGTCCACCCACGCACAACACATACTTGTACTTCCAGCTTTGAGAGGACATGTGTTGGCATCATGCGTTCCCTGGCCCCTCACTCTGACCTTACAACTGAACGCCAAGCCTCAACAGTTACGCTGCGTTCGCACCAAATGAGAAGCGAATGTTCGCGTTGCGTTCCTCGCACAGGTTTCGCCCCAGGTTCATTTATGTTAACGCCCCCACTACTCCTGTTACCAACGTAGGTAAACTACAAACAGATACTGGCCCGAGGAGAGGACGACTGAAGTGAGGTGACTACAGTCGCTGCGTTGTAGAAGCCAGCGACGTTTGATGTGAAGTCTTTGAGTCTTAAACCTCAAAAAACAGAACTTTGAATTTGTGAGGACCGGCCAAAATGTCCTCACTTGTCCAACGTGTCCTCACTCTGGGGGGTCTAATGGTATGGTCCTCACATAGATAGAAGTACAAGTCCACACACACCTTTTGTACTCGCCCCGTCCATCTCAGTCACTGGTCCTCGCTCTGTTTTGTCTCATTCTTCATCTTGTGTAGGGAATGAGAAAGAGTGTGTGAGTGTGTGTGTGTGTGTGTGTGTGTGTGTGTGTGTGTGTGTGTGTGTGTGTGTGTGTGTGTGTGT